GCAGCCGTTGAGCACAGCCAGGATGATGGCCGGGAAAATGCGATGACACAGCTCCACAAAGAGTTCATAGTGCTCCTTTGCCGACTCGTTGGTTTGGTTAGACTGGTACGTCCACCCAGCTCCGGACGCGGCACACACGACCTCCAGGAAAAAGGCCTGCGGAAAATACAATACCAAAGGGACCAGGAACGAGCATACTATCCTGATTGCAGCCAAGCGAGGCGCGCTGATCTCGACGTAGCGCCTGGGATGGCACACGGCGATGTAGCGGTCCACCGACAGCCCCACCACGATGTAGACACTGGCACTCGTCAGCCCGTTCATCAGCGGAGTTTCAAAGTGGGCGTAGTAGAACGCCCATCCATAAGGGAGTTCTTCCCTTTCAAGAAACACGATCGCGGGCACAAGGGAAAGGGAGGCCAGCATATCCGCAATCGCCAGCCAGAAGAGGTATCGGTATGTGGTCGTCTGAGCTTGACGGTTCTGCTGATGCTTCTGGAGTTGATTGACCTTCCAGAGCGTCAGGATGTTGATCACGTTGGTCAGCACACCTGTGATAATCAGCACCGGCATGACGTAGTGATAGACAACATCCTGTAGCACCTGCAGCTCCGGACTGCCTACTGCCGTGGCGTTGGCGTCCCATGTGGCGTTGGCGTCCCATGTGGCGTTGGCGTCCATGGTGCCAAAGGGGGAAGGGAGGCAGGCTCTGAGGGCGGAGAAGTACAATTTTTGTAAAAGTTTCTGACTCCGAGACAAAGGGATTTCATGTTTGTAGAAATGCTGTATCGATCCCATTATTATCAGTTTGTTTCTTGTTGATTTTGTACGTTAATAAAAGACGAGCATCATGCAGTTTGGAGCCGTGGGCAGCAGTTGTTACAGCTACTGCTGTTGGTGCTTATATCTTCATCACTAGTAAGACTGTTACTACTGCTGTAACCACTTCAGTTACCGCTACTTAAACTACTATTCCTATTACTAGCATCGGCACTATTATTGCTGTTGTTTCTGCATTTATCACTTACACTGCAGCTATTACTAATATTACTATTTTCAATTATTCTGCTATCCTTACTACTAGTTTCATAACTACAATTCCAGCTACCAGTACTACTATCACTGGTATTACTACTACTACTACGACTAATAGTAAAGACGATAACAATAACAATGGCAGCAGTGATAACAAAGTAAAGTGTCATTACATGTCCATTATCTTCACTCACTGATAGGAAAATAGACTTTAACCCAGTTGTGGAGAAAAAACAATAACTAATTTATCACAGTAACTGCACGCATTATCTTTTACTAAGCTTATCGCACTATCAAGGAGGAGCTCTCTCACGCCACTGCTCGATTGACAACTGACTTCCATTCACGTCCTGCGACAGTTTCTGATAACGGTCCCATCCTGTCTTGCGTTGGGTGAGGCATTACTGCGATACTGGTTCCCGTTCTTCCGCTCTCTCTCTCTCTCTCTCTCTCTCTCTCTCTCTCTCTCTCTCTCTCTCTCTCTCTCTCTCTCTCTCTCTCTCTCTCTCTCTCTCTTTGATATACATACACAAATATATACATATATATATACATACATATATATATATATATATATATATATATATATATATATATATATATATATATATATGTACGTGTGTGTGTGTGTGTGTGTGTGTGTGTGTGTGTGTGTGTGTGTGTGTGTGTGTGTGTGTGTGTGTGTGTGTGTGTGTGTGTGTGAGTACGTGAAAGCGAACATGTGTTTGGTTACACCTTGCAGCTGGATATATTGCAATTTACTCAGGTAAGCAAGCACAACTGTATTGGAAAAATCTCATTCATCTCTCTAATTAGAGAGAAAAATATATTTTCTTTATAGGACTTATATATCTGTGTATATTTTTACATACACACACACGCAGATATGAGTGTGTTTATGTATATATATGTATGAGTGTGTTTAAATATATATATGTACATAGACGCACACTCACACACGCACACACATACACACACACACACTAACACACACAGACACACACACACACACACACACACATACACACACACACACACACACACACACACACACTCACACACACACACACACATATATATATGTGTGTGTGTGTGTATACATTTATATACATAAATATATACATATATTGTATATATAGATGTGTGTATATATACATATATATTATGTATACACACACACACACACACACACACACACACACACATACATACATACATATATATATATATATATATATATATATATATATATATATATATATATATATACACATATATATGCATGTGTATGTGTGTATATAAATAAGTAAATATATATATATATACATATATATGACTACACACACACACATATACATATATAGTGTGTATGCATATATATATGTGTATGCATATATATATGTGTGTGTGTATATATATATATATATATATATATATATATATATATATATATATATATATATATATATATATATACATATATATACATATATATACATATATATACATATATATACATATATATACATATATATACATATATATACATATATATACATATATATACATATATATGTATGTATATACATGTATGTATATGTATGTATATGTATGTATATATATATATATATATATATATATATATATATATATATATATATATATATCTGATACACACACACACACACAGACACACACACACACACACACACACACAAACAAACACACACACACACACACACATACACACAAACACACACACATACACTTATATATGTACACATGCACGGGTAGGCAGCTAGACTAATATAACTATTTTCAATTATTCTGCTATCCTTACTACTAGTTTCATAACTACAGATCTTTTAGAATTCCCTTAGTCCCTGACCTTACCGCATATGGCCCTAGAACTGAATTATCGACCCTCAGTTTATCTCCGGCACACCATCCCCAGAAGCTGTACTCCTCCTGCAGCAAGGTCATTGACCTTGAACCTCGCAGGATTACATACAAAGGTAACTCCACTCCCGTGCTTTTAATTTTAGTTACTTTTAATTATCCATAAAAAAAATCCAGTTTACATTGTGATTTGGCTTAAACGGCTGACTGCAGTATGTGTGTGTGTGATTGTATTTACTTGCGCGAACGTGTTTATGCTCCGTTCGTATTGCATTTGTCACTGACTATAGAAATAAAGCTCAGTTAAGTAAAAATAGGTTTATAAAAAAAATATCACATTCTTGCAACGTTTGTTTAACCATATAGTATGAAGAGAGTTTTCTTACCTGGTATATCGAAATAGGAATCACGAAATCAACTCAAAACACATCTATGTCCTTCGATGAGAAACTCTGAAAGACCCAAAAATTCGTTCCATTTTCGTATCCTTTCAAATATTTTACAATTTTTTTTTTCGATTTCTTCTCCCACACACACATACACCCCGTGAGCTGGCTTCTCTTATCCAAGGACCTTGCACCCACCTTCCCAGACGGAGGTGTGCATGTAACTGGTGTTTACATTCGCCGCACCGGTCTATATATTCACTATCTGGGCATGGGGTCTAAACCTGATGATTTCTTTTTTCTTGTAAGAGGTTGTGTTGGATTTTATGTCGCTTTCCCTAATGCATTTTCTTTTTTTTTGTACACAAACATATGTGATACGGATACACTAGGAATTAAATGATAAGTACAGAGATAAGCGTAGTGTATATAAGCTGGTCGTTTCTTGGAAAAAATCAAAAGAGGGTTACAGGGGGTGAGGGGGGGGGGGCTCAGATAGATATACATGGGAGAGAGAGAGAGAGAGAGAGAGAGAGGAGAGAGAGAGAGAGAGTGAGGGAGAGAGAGAGCGAGAGAGAGAGAGAGAGAGAGGAGAGAGAGAGAGAGAGAGAGAGAGAGAGAGAGAGAGAGAGAGGAGAGAGAGAGAGAGAGAGAGAGGAGAGAGAGAGAGAGAGAGAGAGAGAGAGAGAGAGAGAGAGAGAGAGAGAGAGAGAGAGAGAGAGAGAGAGAGAGAGAGAGAGAGAGAGAGAGAGAGAGAGAGAGAGAGAGAGAGAGAGAGAGAGAGAGAGAGAGAGAGAGAGAGGAGAGAGAGAGAGAGAGAGAGAGAGAGGAGAGGGAGAGAGAGAGAGGAGAGAGAGAGAGGAGAGAGAGAGAGAGAGAGAGTGAGAGAGAGAGAGAGGAGAGAGAGAGAGAGAGAGAGAGAGAGAGAGAGAGAGAGAGAGAGAGAGACAGACGGACAGACAGACAGACAGAGACAGACAGACAGTGTACCGTTTCTCTCATGGTATGTGCACCACTTATGAAAGAATGCCAGCGAATTAGTAAACCAAAGCAATGGCTACGGAACTACCAGTAAAACAAAACGCCCCCAAAATAGGCCTCATGATTGCAGACAGATCCAACCTCCAACCTCCCAAGGTAAATGTGTAGGATGGTCAGCTTCTCCATAAAAGGAATGACGACACATAAAGGGCATAAGAAACATAAAGGACAAAAGAACTAGAACTAGAGATAGACAGATAAAAAAATTATTAGTAAATAAGTATATCAAACTATCTCAGAACTGAAGGAAACAATAGCTGAATGGCTCCCAAATAAAGGCGTGTTTGTCGAAGACATACATCCCACAGCTGTATCCGCCTTCAGGCGTGTGAACAGTGCTGATGGAAAGGCCCGGGGAAAAAATCTGGCGAGCCACTGTAAACAAAAGGCAGGATTAAGAGAGACAGAAAGAGAGGGAAAGATTGGGAGAGAGAGAGAGAGAAAGAGGAAGAGAGAGAGAGAGAGAGAGAAAGAGGAAGACAGAGAGAGAGAGAGAGAGAGAGAGAGAGAGAGAGAGAGGAAGAGAGAGAGAGAGAGAGAGAGAGAGAGAGAGAGAGACAGCTAGACAGACAGACAGATATATAAATATATATATAAATATATATACATATATATATATATATATATATATATATATATATATATATATATATATATATATAGAGAGAGAGAGAGAGAGAGAGAGAGAGAGAGAGAGAGAGAGAAAGAGAGAGAGAGAGAGAGAGAGAGAGAGAGAGAGAGAGAGAGAGAGAGAGCTTAACGGTCACATAGCCTACGAATTCAAATAATGAATACCATCCATGTGGCTTTAGAGCGTTCTGCCAAGCGCCACGTGGATGCGAGTCGAGCCCAGAGAAGGCAGGTCCATGCTTTACATTCCGCCATCGCGTCCAGCCAAGGCCTCCTGGCTTGGGTCCTGGACACGCCAAGGCTCAAGCGCTAATTCCCAGCCTTTTTATTATTGCTTTTATTATCACAACGCGGGGGTTTTATCTGAAATCACGTATGGATCCAAGCATAATAATATAAACCCTCCTGTTAGATAAACAATGGTGAAAAAAAGGTCTAAGCCAATTTCGTCGCTCGCAATCTAATATTCAAAATGAAATGTACAGGAAACCATATGAAGAAAACATTTTTATCGAAGTTTAATACTCTCGTTAGTTTTACATTCGCCACATCGGTCTTTATTTTCACTATCTGAGGTCTATTTATGATTTTTTTTATTTTATTAGAAGATGTGTTGGATTTTATGTGCCTTTCCCTAATGCATTTTCTTTTATTGTACAAAAAAAAACATATGTGATCCGGAAACACTAGGAACGAAAAGATAAGTACAGAGATAAGCGTAGTGTATCTAAGCTGATCGTTATTTCTTAGAAAAATCAAAGTAGGGTAAGTGGGAATGAGGAGGTGGGGGGGGGCAAATAGAGGGAGAATGACTATGAAATTTCCAGACAGATTTACAGACAGACAGATAGATAGATAGACAGACAGATAGATAGATAGAAAGAGAGAGAGAGAGAGAGAGAGAGAGAGAGAGAGAGAGACAGAGAGAGAGATAGATGCATACAAATTGATTGCCATTTAATTCTCCTTTATTCGGTCACAATCAAACCCCAATTAAGACTAATCGGGCTGAAATGTTTGAGAAATGAAAGGAAAAAATAATACCAAACAATAATACTACGTCATTGTTAATTTCATTTCAATTTTCTATCATTTTGAGAGGGTGAAAGTATCAGATTAAGTGCCTCCATGCTTTTATTCTCTCCATAAAAAGTTGACAGCGCGAGGGGGGGGGGCAGAGACAGAGACAGAGAGAAGCAGATAGACAGAAAAAAGTCAGTTATATAAACAGAAAGACACACAGAGGGAGCAGAGGGCAGACACAGAGAAAGTGAGAAAGGGACAAAAGAGATTGAAAGGTCAAACAAGAGCAAAAATCCAACGAGAGAGAGGGGGGGAGAGGAGAGAGAGAGAGAGAGAGAGAGAGAGAGAGAGAGAGAGAGAGAGAGAGAGAGAGAGAGAGAGAGACAGACAGACAGACAGACAGACAGACAGACTGACAGGCATATAAATTGGAGAGAGTGAGAAAGGAGCGAAAGAGACTGAAAGGCCAAGCAAGAGAGTAACTCTCCAATGAGATAATTTCCCTCAAAAACAGAAAGGAGACAAATGTAAAAGACAAAATAAAATTAAACAGATAAAGAGTTAAGAATTAAAGAGCTAAGAATCAACAGGGAAATAAGCAAACAGAATAAGTAAATAAACAGAGAAGTAAGCAAACGGAATAAATAAATAAACAGACACACGTACACCCTATCAACGGAGAAAGCAGACGAAAATCGAGGTCCTGCCCCCCCCCCCCCCCAGGATCCACCCTTGCCCTCCCCGCATACTAACGTTATCTTCGGTACCAGACTCCCCATGCCCCTCCCTCCTGCTGCTCCTCCCCTCTCCTTCCCCTCCCTCACTCCCCTCTTCTCCTCTGTTTTTCTCTCCTTTCATCCTTTTCCTCGTGTAAGCTGTCTTCTCTTCTTTTCTCTTTTTCTCTTCCTTTCCCCTTTTCCCGTCCTCCTCCTTCCCCATCTTTTATTCCTTTTCCGCTATTCATCCTCTTTCTTCTTCATTTTTCTTTACCCTCTCCTCTTTTGCTACTTCTCCTCCGTCCCCTGCCCCCCATCCTCTCCCCTTCCTTTTCCTTTATCCCCTCCCCTCTTTCCCTGCTCCTCCTCCCTCCCTTTCCCTTCCCTGCTCCCTCCTCCCCACTCTCTCCCCTCTATTCCTCGTCTTTCCCCCTTTCGTCTCTTCCTTCCACAGTTTTCTCTCCCTTCTTTCGTTACTCCTTTTCTTCTCCTGCCTTTTCCCCTTTTACTCCATCTCTCTATTCCCTTTCCCCTCTCTCCCTTCCTCTCCCCTCTGCGCCCGCCCCCCCCCCCCTCCTCCCCCTCCTCCCCCTACTCCGTCTTATCCTTGGGAGGCGTCCGATGAAAGCTGTTTGTGTGATGTGTAAACAGCGCCTTAAATCTCGACTGACTTCGTTCCAAAAATTCTCGCGCTCCTGAAATACCGTCTGAGTCGCGGGTGTCAGTGGTCAGATGAATGCCTCTCCTTCCTTTCTCTTTGCATTTCTTTC